CTGAATGTGAAGAGCTAGTTGCAAGGCAGTGAAGGCATTGAAAAAGATATCTTTTAATTTCGCGTCCAATTTGACGACCAAATACTTATTCACTCACAATTCACACTTGAATGTCAACAATGCTTCTTAATCATATTCAGTCCCTGTTTGAGCCCTATTTTTGGATCAAAATGTATTTTAAAATAGTATTTTGTTGCATAATGTGTGATTAAAAAATAATGAAAATTTTAGGTTTACTTGTAAAATTATTTTATGGAAAAATGTGTAATTGAAAATGAATTTTGAAAAAAACAAATGTAAAAGAATGAGGGCCAAATATAGCCTCAGTTTCACCAGCTCAAAGACACATTATTTGGCATTAAAAAAGTCGTAAATTCATTGCCGCTTCCACAGGTATCTTCTATACTACTACGAGCATAGAAAAATGCTGCCAGAATACACTTGACAATTTTTGATTCGATAATGGCAAAAAATTTAAAAAGCAAACCAACCAAATTCTGGCAACTATGCTTTTGTACAAGCAGAGAAATCCATTATCTATATTACACTCTCTCGCATAATGGAGGAAGAGGGTTTCCAGCTTAATACATTTAGTTACTTTGCAGTTTTGAGCTATCGTAGCCATGGAGAGTCAGTGACCGTCAATTTTCAGAGAATGGTTGATAACAATGAACACGCAATACAAGAATGTTAGGGAAGGAAGAGAAATGTTTGGTCTCCATTATAATTTAATACATTTTTTTTCTCTCCTTATATTAACCACATATTTTTCAGTAAAATAACATTAAATATAAATCTAAAACTTTCTTTCTTTTTCAGCTGGTCGATTGATTACCCGCAAGTGAACAGGATCGTGAACAAATAATAAAATGATGTGTAGAGTGTCAAACTCACAAGTACTATGTGTTTAATCTAGTTAAAGCTAACATTACCCTTAATCGAATAGCAAAATCAATTTGTAACTAAGCAATATAAAATCTATCAACCAATAGAAAGCAATGTAAAGAAAATTTATCAAATTCGAGAGACATATTGCTAAGATGTCGAATGCCCCTTGTTAATCCATTTTTAGTTCAACAAATTAAATTGACAATTTGAATCATGCTTGTTGGTTAATGTTCTTATTTTATTTAAAAGCTTCACTCGATAGCAATTAAATCTATTTCCCTCATGTGACATTCCTATCTATCGATGAAAGATGCGAACATGATAAATGCATTAAATTATGCAGAACATCTTACAACAATTATATGAAGTATAAAGGTATATCTCTATCCTCTATCGAACCCCATAATATTTATTACTATATGTTAATGATCTTATTACCTCTCTCGATGATAATAAAATTCACAAACAATTCAATTAATGACCAGTTAATTGAAAAGCAAATGAAACAATAATAAATATCCAAGCAATTAAACAAATTATCGTCAAATTAATTATTCAAACTAAGAACTTCATAACAAGGGTTGATCACATTTTAACAATATTAAAGTTTAGCCGAGTGTATTGTTGAAATTAAACACACACAAGTTAAAAGACATCACCAAACTTGGACGGAACGAAATGTGATTAATTCTCCCTATTAAAGTTGCTGTCTTCTTCCTCATATTATGTCAGCCACTACCTATGTTCTGTGTGTAATAAAAAGGCAGCACTCGTGTTTTCCAAGAGGCGCTCGTTTCTTCTTCTTCTTCCTTTGTCCTCGTGTGTGTATAATATATTTCTTGGTGCCCAATTTCTGACTTTTTCCTTTCTTCCTTGGCTGCCCTTTTTAGTGTGTATACATATCAATTAACTTCAGTCGGCAGCCCGTGTTCTTTTGTTTGCAACAGCCCAATTTGTCTCCCAAAAGTTTAACTCTAATTCTCTGTCCTAGAGCTGCTGCCAATTTGTTAGATTTCAGCAGCACAGTTGATTTTTGTCTCCCAATTGCCGCCTTCAATATTTCTCTCCTTTTTCCTCCAAGCTGGTGCTGTATTTTCTAATGTGTATCCCCCTCCATTCCTAGCTTCCTATGTGTATATTTATAGAGGAAATTACATAAAACCAAGTATTAAAACTTTCAAATTCAAAATTAGGGGATGAAGTTTACTTATGCAAAAATTTGGTATTATATATAATTAACTCATCAAATTCAATTAAAACTCTAATCATTTCCCCCAAATTCTTCCCTTATCATATCTCTTCTTTCTCTCTCTCTCTCTCTCTCTCTCCCCACCTTATCCTTTGTCTGTCATCGCCATCAAGGAGCAACCGCCATCGGAGACACCTCCGACTCTGAGTACGGACACGAGACCATCAGAATTCAGGTCATTTTTAAACTGTAATAATCCATTCTCACTCTTACTCTCCATCTTCTCTTCATCTTCCTGTTCGTATATTCCTTGCGATGCATATCTACCCACTCCGGCAAGTTGTAGTGGTGAAATGAATAGGCTATGGTAGTTGTTGAATTTGGTGGTAGTGGTGTGATTTTTTGGCATGTTTTGTTGTTCTTTTTGAGGTGGTGGCGGCGGGTTTATGGATTCTTTGGTGGGGTGGTGATTTAGTGCGGTGTAAATGGAGCTAAAGGAAATGGTGGTGGTGGTGTGCTGTGGGTGGTGCATTGTGCGATGGTCATGGCGGTGGTTGTTGCGGCGACGATGAAGGTAACGGGTGGAGCATCTATGACTAATAATTAGGTGTCCGTGACCAACTATTTTAGGCGTCTGTGACAAATTATTTAGCTGATTTGTGACTAAATATTAGATGTCTGACTAAAAAATAATTTGTGGTCAATAAACTGTAAATTAAGTGACTCATAGGTAAAATGTGACCTATAATTTGAATGATTTGTGATCTCGAAATAATATGTGACCTATAAAATTTTTGATTTGTGACCACGAAATAATCTGTAATCAATTAATTTGATGATATGTGACCAGTAAATAAATATGTGACTATTAATCATGTAATTGTGACTTTATTATCTTTATTTAATAAATATTTTTAATTAATTAAATGCATATCTGATTTTTGAATTTTCAAACTATTTACTTGATTTTTGAATTGGGGTAAACATAACCCTGAAATGTGATTTTTTCCCCATATTTATATCTACTACAGCCGCAATAAGTTGGAGTCTAGTTTGGCGTGAATTTCTTTGGATAAAACACACCAAAAACTAAAAAAAGTTCAGCCCACTTTTGTTTTCGATTTCCTGCAGCTTGATTGAATTTATTCCAATTAAAGTTCAAACTTGAGGCCCATTTAATGTATACTTTTCTTCAAGCCTTCCTTTCTTTTAAAATAGTTCAATTTAGTCCCTCTTCCTTTCCAGTTGCTTCAAACAAGTCCGTCTCTGAAATAAACAAAATTAACTCAAATTAAGTATAAAATTCACTAATTTGATGACATACAAGTTTAATAATGTGGCGTAAATAAATGCACAAAATGCACTTATTACCGATCACACATTCTTCAAAAAATCACTATTCCAAAATATTTTAATTAATATCAAACAGGAGCAATGTCCCCCAAAACTCATTATAATGGATTCAAAATGGAAGGTCTAGGAGGAAGGACGTAGTCACGTAGCACTTTTGAGTTAAGTAATAAAGGGTTGGAAGTTGGAACAAGACAGGAAACGGTAGGTTTCGATTGAATAATCTGACGATATATACATGCGTAGTAATACTCCTTTACAATCCTTATTTTTTTCTTCTGTATAAATTTCCAATTTCCATTTTTAAAGTTACTTGTTCTATATCGTACTTATTAAGCCGTGCTCTGAAGATTTGAAGGCCAACTTTAAAAGTTTCGACTTAAGTCCCAAAAACCTAAAATTTGACCATGCCGATCAGAGAAGTATGCAAATAGATTTACCAAAAAGTACTGCACCACGAAGGGTAATTGCCCGCAAAAATGAATTTCATGACGCCCCTTTGTTGGAAAAAAAATTGTGCCAAGAAACAATTTAAATTACCAAGCAAATGATGTACGCTACTGTATCAAAAATCTTGTGAAATGCAAAATCATTTCAAAATCGAGACAATAATAGCCTGTTTGGGAGTGATTTCCTGGATCAAAAAATTGATTTTTTGACCGTCTTTTCATTATTTTAACCGTCATATTTGACTTCTTCTCTCACAAGTGGACCCCATTTTTCTCCTAACGGTCCAAAAATCAATTTTCAAGATCGCTCCCTAACAAACTATAAATAACATGATTCTCTGCACATATGGATTTATCAATAACTTGAGATAGTAAATAACTTGGAAGTTTATAGTAAAAGGCAAGTGAAACATTATCAAATTTTAGACTGATTGAACATCTAAAGATTGAGTTGAGTCCTAGCTTTACGTTTTACACAAATAAGAGTGAGTTCCTCAACAAAGAGTGATTAATCTATTTCTTGACGAATTATTCTTCTTGGCCAAGGCCCCCCTTCCCCTTATTGGCAGTGAGTCTGTCGGGAAAATGGCCCTAGCTAAGTAGCATGACTCATTTCTTGACGTGGACAAGAAGACCTGCAAATTGATTTGGTCCTGTGGCAATTTGAGAAAATATAGATGCTCTTTTCTCTTTACTAATACTAAAGTCATTTAATTGAGATTCACAAAACGAGCCAAATCTCAGCACAATAACTTGGAACAAAAACTCAACTTATACCACCTCTTAACAAGGGCACATGTCAAACTGATCTAGAGCATAGTGTATTTTACATGCAAGCAAAGTATCTACCCCAGCCCAATGGTCAAAAAAATAAAGTAACAGCTCGACTAAACCAATTAGACCATAGTCACTTTGACAAGACATTTGGAGCAAAAGCAACAAACACAGCGATCATGGTGAAATAAGATGGCATTGACACGTCACCTTCATCCCTTGCCGCAAAGTTGATCCACACTAATACAAGATCAAAGATGTACACGTGCAACAAATCAACTACATTATAGCCCAATTTATTAGTTGAAATCCATTAATATTTTGCTCATTGCCTCTTTGCTGCACACAAGTGACCAAACTACAGATCATATCATTTAAGCATACTCTTCTATTCTCAAGTGCAGTTCAGCTACTAAATATAAACAAGAAAGTAACAACGTTTCAAATAGAATACTCTCATCTTCCCTAAATCCAACATAGCCTAAAATGAAGCAGAAATGCTAAAAGAAATACAGTTCACTGGCTACAGCACCTGATACACATCAAGATTAACACTAACTCCCGGATCTGGAAGCACTAGGAATTTGGTACTCGACTCCCCTGACTACACGCAAGGGGAAATCCTTATTTACATACTAATTTCACAGCCTACTATTTAAGTTACACAGAAACATGGCGCGGGCTTCACAACAACATTAAAATTCTATGAACAACTTTCTGCAGTCATATGTCCATGCCATCAAATATTTCTTCATCTTCCTCGTAACTTAACTCATTGGCAACAAGGCCTTCATCCACCAAGTTACTGATATAAAAATTAGGTGATAAACACGAGGAAAATCCTGTAGTTAACAAAAAAAAGATAACTGATTAAGGAATGTAAGCAGTAAATTACCTTAAACAGCTGAAACGGAAGCTCACAACACGTCTGAGCTTTCTATTGTAGAAGAAGAAATGGTAAGACCATCTGAAATTGAAAGAGAGGTGCATGTCACAACGGACTGAAGCCACAGGCAAAGCACTTAAATTTGGTTAAATTAAATCTCACATGGCTCCTCTCTCGAGGAACGGATCTGCCTCTGGCTCTGGGCTGTAACTATAGATTTCACTTTCTGCTAGTTTCACAACCTGCATAACCGACATGTCAACAGCCTGCTTCACTAATTTATTTTTTTCGTTCTTATGAAAGCATACCTCATCTAAAGCCTTGTACAAAGTCTCCAGAAGAGGGCTCTCACTTTCCGCAAGCCATTCCTGAAACCAAAAGTAGAAGGAAACTCAGATGAGAGTTCCAAGAAAAGTCATAACCAGTACAAGACACCAAACTAATAAAAACAAGTAGGAAACCAGGTACAGCAATTCATGTGACAAAGCTCAAATTCAGAACCCCAGAAATGTAAGCTTTAATGTTCTCGCAATTCATCAATAACTGAATCAAATGAACAAAATAAGAGGTAGAAGAAGATGACTACAAAAACTATTATGATATACTTTATTTCTATCTATTTTAAGAAATAAGAAACACTTGCAGAAGATACAACCCATTCTCCACCATTTGGAAGTGCACCAATTTTTCCTCATCTCATCATCTAGTAATCTAAATTCAAGAAAATGAATTAGGTTTATTTGTTTGACAATGCAAACTAGCATGCCCTTTCACGAAATCAATTCACAGGCCTTAGAAAAAGAGAGGACTTGTCTACATATACTCTAGTAGATTTTTATGATAGCCACTTAATTTGAAAGAGTTTTAATTAATTAATTGATTATTTGACACTTAGATAAAAAGTATAAAATCCATATGTTTTCCCTTTCAAGAATCTCCTGTGATGAGAGTGAAGGAAGATAATAACAGTTCAAATACAACCTTGTACAGATGATTGCATGTTGCTAGGGATCAAAGCAGAAGTTATGAACATAGCTAAAATTGATTAAATGGGCTAGTTGACAAATAATTGCAGCATTGCAAATTGACAACACTAGTGTGCAGAAAAATGTGCCCTGGGTGTGTGACAAAGACGGGACAAAAATAAGAGTGAAAAGCTTCTTCCAGTCTAATGGAGGTAAAAGGACCGAAAACTATAGACTGTTGGATGATGCTTTGTTGACACAGCTTAATCCACATCATAGGCTGGAGGATTTGGAGCAAAAGGTTAGAAGCATACCCAATACCCAGTCCTACTTATAAAAATGTTACCCTAGAAATCAAAAAGCTTGAAGAGCTTATATTTTAAATTTAACTAAAACGTACACATTTAATCAAACGATAAAATTTCCATTTGATATCTGAGTCTCTATTCATTTTTAATAAAACATTACAATTCTTACTTCATCCACAAATTGAATAACGGAACTAAATGAACAACTAGTATTTCCTTTTTCCCCACCTTTTTTATTTATTTATTTTTTGAATTTCACATTACTTCCCAGAGGAGAGACAAACCAAGGTCAGCGACCTGGTAAGGATTCATTCTAACCACTTGAGATAGGCCTTGGCCTCGAATAACTAGGATCTCACAGCACTCCATACAATTAAAAGTAACAAACTTTGAATACTGTCAAAAGTGATTTTTTTCAAACTTGTAAGCTCAGCGATTTAGTTCTCATCATTATGCTGATTAGCTAACAATTTTCTTAAATTTCAAAACAAAATGAAGAGCAATTATCAATGAGTATGGTTAAAAGATAAAAATATATATCCTCACTTAATAGTCTCACATCAATCCAAATGTTAACTAATATGTACTGTATAAAATATAGAGTGTGTTTGAGCCACATTCTTTTTAAAGAATGTATTTTGAAATAATAGATTGATAGAGAATGTGTGGTTAAAAAAAAATAAAATTTTTTTGATTTGCGCGTAATATTATTTTAATGAAGAATATGTGGTTGAAAAGAGAGAGGAAAAATGTATTTTGAGAAAAATGGGAATCAAACACCTCCTAACATTGAATCCACGTGCCAATACTATGACGTCTAGTAACACATGCCAATCCTATGAAGTCTAGTAAGGTCAGAAGAAAAATGAGAATGTGTGGTTAAAAAAAATGAAATTTTTTTGATTTGCGCGTAATATTATTTTAATGAAGAATATGTGGTTGAAAAGAAAGAGGAAAAATGTATTTTGAGAAAAATGGGAATCAAACACCCCCTAACATTGAATCCACGTGCCAATACTATGACGTCTAGTAACACATGCCAATCCTATGAAGTCTAGTAAGGTCAGAAGAAAAATGAGTGTCAAGTGATATCTAAAGAGTTGCAGAAGATATGATTAGCAGTGACTGTCATCTCTTAAGTTGTCAGACAGAAATACAACTGCAAAATGTTTGACCATGCAATGCTTGATAAGAGGGAGCTTATGATGATAACTAACAGAAAAGCTGTAGCTTCTGTGGGCATTCTTGGTGGCATGGAGAGATTACACAGAGACACTGGATAGGTCAAGAGTCACAATCGAGACTCAAGATTTATGAAATTGAACATCTACTATAACCTCATTAACTTCTTAAATGAGTTTTAAGCAATAACCAATGCTTACAATCATTGAGAATGTGACATCAGCGATCAAGCCAAATGTTTTGTTGCATAGAAAAGAGAGAGACAATAGCAAGGAATGCATCCTATGGCAGCTGTTCTTGCTCTAAACTACAGCCAGTAGGTAGTTGTACTCTACAAAATAACATTTTTTATAGATTTGAACAAGAAGCTGGAGCTTTATTTCAGACTTGATTCTAATTAAGTTCATTTCACTCCAACAATAAAGCCTTCCCATATTTTTACTAGAAAACTCAATATGCACCTAGTGGTAATGAAAATTTCTTCTATTAACTTTTAAGGGGTGCTCAATTATTTTGATTTACATAACAAATAGTAGATTTCGTACTACCTTTGATGCTTCAAGCATATAAACATCAAATATCTGCTTGAAATTGTCCCAGCTCTCTTCTGTGAAAAATTGGTGAGCCTTCACTGCACTGGTAAACCAAAAGTTGGCAGCTTATAGCATAATGAGACGAAAATTTTAGAAGCATCAGGGATGCAAGGCAGCATTGATGCAAACAAAGAGACAAGATGTCAATTGTTATGATGTTGGGAAATGGAGAGACTTGAACTCTCAGCTCCAATTAGAGCAACAGTAATTCAAACTGTCTGTCAAACCTTCTGACAACACTCCCAAGAATGGTAAGAGAGGATTATTTGGCGGGATGTCATGTCGCCAGGAAAGCTGACAGTAACATTACCCATAATCCTCATTGAACCCATGTAAAACATTAATAATACTGTACAACATAAGATACCTGAAATCATAATCGGGATACATGTGGTTGAGAGTCAGAAGAAGATAAATCAATGTCTTTCGGCTGTCATGTCATTTAAGAAATTAGTAATAGATTACATATAGATGATCTATATATGACAGGGATTTAGATCGAATTCACCACCTGGATCTACAAGATAAATATTCAACAGGTGAAGAAGAGTCTGTATCTGAAGACTTTCCAAGATAATCAAGAATCTGAATTCCAAAGTTCAGTTGAGCAATGAAAGTAAAAAAACTGAGTTAATTAACTGTCAGGTAAAAGGCAACTAATTTAGACACTAATGGTAAAATGAAAAAACTACACTAGAACATCTACCCAAAAAGCATTCCTCAAGAAATTTTTAAAAATGACTCCAAGGAGATACAATACCAAAAACAGGTGTGTTAGCCAACCACATGCATATCATATATATTTCAGAAGCATCACACATACACAACGTATAACCGACGTATAAACGCTGGTCTTCTCCAACAACTAACGGTGTTCAATTTAGTGCCAAGAGATTCATTTGCTCTTTTTCCTTTTTTCCCTAACAATGGATAATTAAAAAAAGTTCAGTTTAATTTAGTTTTGGTTAATCATTTCAAATTCACTTAACTTGATGTCTGAAGCATCACCGCAGAAACCAAAGAGTTGGTCATCTTACTTAGATTCCTCAAGTGAATTGACAGATGAAATAATTGATCCATTTTCCTAATAAATGAAGCAGTATGAAACCTTGTGGCCCATGAAAATGAAACACATCTAGTCAAATAGAGTTTTAATTCTTCACTACGCAACAATCAAGAATTCTGCTTCTATACAAATTACAATTTAGCACTTTCACACTTTTTTTATGTATCAAATGGCCTCCTTTCACTCTTGCACAAATTTAGCAAATTGTACACTTCTTACGTGGCCCCACGTGTATTCAACAATTCACAGATTCTCTCACCTGTCTAACTTCTCAATTTTTCTTTTTCTTGATCATGACTTATACAAGCATGAAGATATTTTAGCCCTTGTTTGAGCCCCATTATTTGGAAAAAATGCATCCATAAACAGTGTCTTCACATAATTTTAACCACATATTCTTCTATAAAATAATATTACAAGCAAATTTTAAAATTTTCCTTATTTTTTAACCACACATTTCACATCAATACACTATTCAAAAATATATTTTTATGACAAAAATGGGGATCAAACAAGGGCTTAATCTCCAATCTCATGCAAATATACAGATTTGCAAATTAGATTTACGAGCTCAACTTTATCTCTATTTTCCCCTTTCTCGGGACTATTACTATCAGCGTACAAAAAGGAAAAATCGGGTACTAAGGCTTCCCTCTGTGAGGCAAGGCATAAGCCTCAAGGCGCTTTGAGGCATAAGCCTCACCATAAACCAAAAAAATACAAATATAGTAAATAAGACAGTAACAAGCAAACTTCAAAATCATACACAATAAAGCAATCTAAAATGTTACTTGAAAACAAAACAAAATTTATTATAAAGTTGTAAAATTAAATGCGAATATGTGGAAGAAAAGGACAAACAGAATACCATTGCAGTTATCAGAAAAGAAATTACTGATTCAATAAAAACAAGTTTCTGATTTCATCTTAAATCTTCTTTTACTTTGCAGTTATTATAGTATTTAGTTAGATAGTCACGGGGACACGTATCTCCATTCCATAATGGAGAATGCCAACAGTTAGGATTTATTAAAAAAATATAGAATCCACTCATGGTGGGAGAAGTCCTTGCTATATTAGGCACTAATCTAATTTTAACATATAATTTCAACTAATAACATTGCCGAAACAAGATTACATTCATATATGTATCAGGGATGCATGAATGTCATTTTTTCTAAACACAAGTAAAGTCGAAGATGAGACGGAGAAGCAGTTGACCAGCAATGAGAAGACCAACAACCAGAAAAAGATATGAAGAGAAAATAAAATCAGAAAAAGAAAGAAAAAGATCAAGTAGCCTTTGTCAGAGCTGCTACCATAGCGGAGTCGGTGCTCGCCAAAACTTCTGATGTTAGTTTTAAGTTTATTTTGGCTTTTGTGTGTTTAACCCTTATTTTATTCTTATTTATATTCACTAATCCTTATTTTGAGATTAACCAAACAGAAGTTTGTCTTTCAAAGCTGGTTATACAAAGCAAAAAAGTGGGCTTTAAATACGAGTGGTTCCAAGCCCATACACCAAAGAAGAAAAATGGAACACATGCCTCATATAGACTGAGGAATCCGCTGTGAGGCTTACGCCTAAGCCTCATAAAGACGTTTAAATATTCGTGCCTAAGTGCCATTTGTCAGCACCTCACATTGAGGTGCACCTTAGAAACATTTTTTTAAACAATGATGCCTTAAACCCCTCACTTTCGTGCTTTCTTTTTCCTTCTCTCTGTATAAATCTGACATACCACCTTTCAGCTTCATTTATAAATATCATCCATTTATCAAGAAAATATTTCGAAATATGCTTTTCCTTGGGCAGGAAAAATCAAACTAATATTCTTTGACCATTTCTATTTTTTTCGCATCTGTTACATAATGCAATTCCTCCTGCCACCTGCTCATTCTAAGGTAAGCATACTTGGATGATTCAGCATCAAAAATTAATAAAATACATATTGAAAATCTTAAATAAAAAAATTACAACAAATCAAGAAATATAATGTTCTATGCTAAAAGGTAAAACTGCCATAATCTCGGAGAGATTCATTTACACCTATTTGACTGCTACATAACCAGAAAAATGATTACCCACCAGTAATCATCTTGGAGAATGGCAAGAAACTCATTTGAAAATTCAATATAAGATCCTGATGCTACCTGAGAAGATTTTCTACATAGAGTGAACTAAAGATGAAGTATCATTTGAATTAACTGTTCATTAAATTTTTTATTTTATTTTATACCATTCTTTCAAATAGCTTGAAAACTGAAAATATGCATTTCATCAAGGCATAAAAAAAAGAGTATTCATTTCCCTTTTTTTTACTTTCATTTCCATTGTTATCCATTACTTCGAAGGGATGATCCACCACTTTTCCAAATTCTTTTTCATTTCATGAGAAAAAATATTATAGCTTATTCTTTCTTTTAAGAAGAGTTCCAATTATACATAAGATTGCAAATTTCTACGGCAATTACAAAGGACTTCATGAATTAACATATTGTTTAAGTTACTATTCAAAAACTAGACATATCGCATGACAAATTACATTAATCGAACGCACCTCAGTCTCCAAACTAATCGAGAGCTTCTTATCTGTTCCAGTATGTTTGCCTAGAAAAACAAAAAGTAAAACAAATACCAAAGTACTGAAATCCACCCACAAGCATATTGTGTTCGTACAATTCAAATCATACTTACAAGAGTAAGCTTCAAGGCATCCTTTGATAGTACGTTCTCCAAGATTCACGTGACTCAAGAAATCATTAATTCTGGGATAGCATACCATAATTTAATGCTTAAAAAGAATAAACAAAGAATTTGAAATCTGAAAGCATAATGGAAAGGAATCATTTTTTAGAGATTGCATTAAAGTAATAGTTTCTGCTGAATAGTTCAAAACTCACTGATCAAGAGGAGTGTATTCCAAGTACTTCATGATGCGTATAATTAAATCACCTGACTTAACTGACAATTTTTCTTTGTCCCTGCACCAAAGCTTATATCTCAATCTACAAAGATTTTACAAGTCACAAAGTTCAAAACCAATTGTGCCAACCGTATCAGGTTAGAATATAAGCACAAATCTCAATATATGGTTGCAGAACACTATTTTCACTCTGTTGCTTTCCAAAAATGACACCGTGATCATACTCCAAATTGTAGATTTACTCTCTCCGACTAGAAATTTACCGCAAAGAATTCAGAGCAAGCCATACAACCAAATTGAAAATGTCCAAAGATGAATTCCATCCAAAGAAATGTTTGACGTGTCACTAGCCCAAGCACAAAAGTACAATACAGTCACAAGTTAATCCACAGTACATTTATTTTTAACTTCTGATCTGTTATTAAATTTTCAATTACAATTACTGACATCTAGTGTTACATGAGAACTAGAAGTGTAAATTCATGATGATAAGGCATGCCCTAAACTGTGTGCTTAAACATTGACCTTATCCCAGTGCTGAATTCACAATGAAAAATTAGTTCTTTACATATTTAGCAACATATTTTGTTGAGTTAATTTTCTATTACCACCTACATGATCAATTATTGTTATTGAGGTACCCTCAATGACAAACGTGGCATTGTGATGCCTTGGCAAAAGGAAATCACATTTGTACAAAGTGGAGAATTGATGCATAACTGATTACTAGAAATCAAGTACTAGCCCAAACTAAGATTTCCGCTTTCGCATCACGGTGATACCAAGTCCATGCCTCATCGAGGTGCATCGAAGTGCCTCTAACTCAAGCCTAGATAAAGGCGAGAATGAGTGTTCACGAGTCACACGGAGCGCATAATATGAGGTAGAATATATCAGCTCAATAACTTAGAAAAGTTGTCAGACCATACTCGGAAAAAAGCTAGCCTAATGTGCAAGACAAGACAAAGCACGCGAGAATCCAAGGACTTAAGTAGCCATCTTACCCAGGAGTGGTGTGCCCCCAATGTAACAACAAGACGTCTATGTCAAAGTCGTTATATTATACGTATTGTCCGCTTTGGATGGATCGTACATATGATATAACGGCTCAGGTATAGGGGTCGGGTCGTTATAAAAAAAATGCATTTTTTTTAACGACCAAGCCTCTGTGCCTAAACCGTTAACTTACATACTGTCTAGGAAAGTCTAAGCCTATCTTTACCTCACAAATTTCTATCGTGTCCGCGGGATTCAAACCCATAACCTCCCATTAAATAAGATTTTAAGTTCAATCCTATTACCAATTGGACAAGTTGTAATAACCCAAAGCTTACCCTTTAAGTCATTAAATAAGTATTGTAGAATAAAAATTTAACTTTCATAAAAATATAACTTTCGCCCTAATTACCAAAAAAAAGAACTACTAAATAAAAGTAAAATAATTTATTATTCAATAATATCTTTATTATACCACCAGTAGTCAGTTCCAAACTACAACGCATAGAACCCCAATTACCTAAATGGGAAAAATCATAAGAAATGAGTTAAATTCCTAATAAGTGAGCCACATAAATCATAATTCATATTCAAAATTTAGGAATTCTTAACGTACATAAGGAGACACGAGAATTAGAAACCAAATTTAGATGATCATAATCCCCATACATAATCATAACATAAATAGGGAGACAAAGGAATTAAGAATCGTACTTCGTTGTTATAATTCCCATGCGTAGCGCTATTGAACTCTGGACATGGCCGAGACTCCTATGGGAGGCGACAGTGGGGAATTTTACACAATGAACTTACACATATAAGATCCATATCATATTCATAAATCGAATTCCGTATTTTAATGTATGAAAAGCGATTCAATATACAATGTATGTCTGCACTTACCTTGATAATTTGAAGAGAATTGTAGTAAATACATATTGGAGAATTTAACTTCTTCAACAAAGTGATAATTTTTGTTTGTTTATGGGTGTGATTTATGTGTGTATCTATAGGTGCATTTAATTGTGCACTGAATAAGGTAATAATTGATACGAATCAGATAATTTAAATTAATAAATCATAATTATATACATATAGACACACATTATTTTAGTAATTATAGATATTGGAAAATATTTCTTCTTAATTTATGTCAATTTCCTTAAATTAGAAATAGAAATTATGCTAGTTTCCATAATCTTTTCCTTAATTAACTTTAACTTTTTTTTGAGTAAGACAATTAACATATATGTATATCTATACACGTATACGGAAATTTATCATTTTTCTATAATCATTACTTGAACCTCTCATTTAAGCATGGATGGAGTGGCACATATATGGCGAAAGTGACCAAGGAAGGAACCTTCTTAATTTATCTTTCATATACATGGTAATTATGTATTCTCCATCAAAATCATGTCCATCTATAAATCTATAGAGAAATAGGAACTAAATTGCACGTGGGATCCCTCAACTATGGGAAATGTGCAATATGGTCCCTAAACAATGGAAAATCATCAATTTGGCCCCCTAACTTTTGGGTTGTTATAATGCTGTCCAATTAGTAACTTAAATCTCTCTTAAGGAGAGGTCATGAGTTCGAGTACAGGGATGCGATAGAAAGTCGTGAAAAGGTAAATAGGCAGACGCCCACCCAAAGCGAACAATACGTATAATATAACAGTTTGGGCATAGAGGCCAGATTATTACAAAAGTGTGAATTTTTGCGTAACAACCCAGCTCTTGTGCCCAAACTGTTAATTTACGTACTGTCCGCTCTGGATAAGCATGTCCCCACTTATCCCCTCAAACCTTCACAATAGAAATCCGTGAGGGACAAGTGGGCAGATGCCCACCCAGAGTGGATAGTAAGTAAGTCAACAACTTAAAACACAAAGTCTGAGTCGTTACGCTCAATCCTGTGTAAGCCGTTCTATCTAACTCTACAAGAGTGTTTGAACCCTCTACCAATTAATACCAAGTAGTCATCCACTCAAGTTAAATATAAGCATCAGAACTCAATTAGTTGATATTGAGGTGTTGTTACAATAGCCCAATCCCAAGGTTACAAGGACCTAAGGATGATTGAGATTAAATCATGAAGTGTTAAAATTCGTTTTGTTTCTTTGTTGCTGTAAAAAAAGGTGATAAATTGTGAGAGAGAAACGAAAATCATCAAGAGAATTTTCAAAATTTACTTTTCTCTCTATCTGTTTTAGTGTCTCTGAAGTCTAAACTGCACTTATAACATTTTTGTAGATCCTTTTTTTGTTGAAATAACAACCAATGGTGTCTGTTTCATATGATTTCCAAAGTTTCAGGTTCACCTTGTTGATCAAAGGCTTCGGTAAGAGTTTCTACATCAATAGTTATCGTCACAAAACCTCATTCTTTACCTCCTCGTCTCAACTAAAAACGTGGCAATTAAGTCATAAGGAGGATGTTCAACAGCCAGAGCCTTTCATAAAGGCAAATATCATAAGATGTTCTACATGCAAATTAAAGAGTTATCTTATTGCTTTCTTTGCTTTTTTTTAACACGGAGATGAGAAACCAATTGGCTCAGTTGCTATTTCTACATAACTATGGAAGCAACTTTTATGGTTGAAAAAATGTTAAGGTTCTGTTGGAAACCTATCAAAATATGCATCATAACATAGAGTCAGGGTTTGACATAGTAATGAAATAAAATAGGATCTTCAGGGTCCGAACAAATAGGCTTATTCAAAAAATGACTTATTCCTTAGAAGTAAATCGAGAGATCATGCACCTCCCTTCCCTAGTTACATAAGAAAAAGGTACAGGTGGTTGGATCCAACCTATCTGTGAAATGAACATGATGCTTGATGCTTAGCCATTTAAAACATTGATGAAATTCAAATGAATAGTGTCAGCAAAATAACTGTGCATCAGGAAAGCAGAAATTAAAATGATGACCTTCCATAAAAAATTAATGAACCAGGCATATAACAGCCTATAACTAGAGTTTGGATAATTATACAAACATTAGAATTCCTCAAATCGATTCTAAGTTATCCATTCAATGACCTTATAAATCATCAGGCCATCTCCAACGCTACACCAAAATTTGCACCATTTTGCACCAAATCAAAATTTTTCTCCAGCCATTACACCAAAACTTGTACCAAATAAACAGTGCTTTATTATTTTATTCATTTTTTTCGATTCCTGACAATGTATTTATTTTAAAAAATTATTTATTTATTTTATAACTATATAAATTACTAAATCATAACTTCGTTAAATTAACAAATATATTGATTACTAAATTATTCACGTGTTTTATATATTATGTTAAATTAAGAAAAATAATTGATTATATTATTAATTTATGATAAGCAATTACGTTAAATTTACAAAAATAATAAACTTTACGTTAAATTAAACTTTAAACCTAAACTTTACGAATTAAACTTTACGTTAAATTAACAATTACGTTAATTATTATTGAATATACTATTAAAAATAATAAACTTTAATAATATAATTAATAGTGTAATTAATTATCATCATCATCAATTATTATTATTATAGAACAAAAATAACACAAATACCCTTAACTATTATCTTTGAAAAATAAAAATAAGGGCAAAATGGACATTACACCATTTGGTGCAAAAAATGGTGTAATGAATAGTGTTGCACTATTCATGTTACACCATTTTGCACCAAAATTTGGGGCAATGGTTGCACGAAATTTGCACCAAATTTTGGTGCAATTTGGTGCAATAGGGCTTGCATTGGAGATGCCCTCAGAGTATGGTTAACTAGAATGTTTTTGTCATTTCATCCAAGGTTGATCAAATGCTTCTCTTCAAATTTTGACTCTAAGGGTGCATTTGATTACAAGTATTGAATTTGCATGAAAAGAAAATAAATTATAGGCAATTCAATTTCTCAGAACTTATTTACATGAAAATTGTCAATTAAATGTATTTGATTGATTTAATTTTCGAACTAGAAAATATTATACATGTCCATGTTTTATTGATGGATGAGAAAGAGTCAATAGATAAGAGAGAGAAAGAAAGAGTGAATTCTCTATAAAATAAAATCTTATTCCCCTAAAAAAAATATTTTCCTTGATTTTAAGAAAAATATGGTCACGTGACCAAAAGCAGAAAAATGCTTTCCATGGAAGAAAATCAAACGGCACAAAAGTAGGAATGTGGGTGAAAAAAACACATTGTTCATAGAAAATATTAGTAATCAAACGCAACCTAATTTTTCAACTACATCATGCTTTTCGACACTAATAATCATCACCAATAAATACCATCCATAACAAAATTCTGCACCTATTTCATTTTCTTTTTTTTTCCCCAAAATACAAAATTATGCTGAAATAAGAATATAAAAACAGAAAAACCACTAGTCAAACACAACTTTTTCTAAACTTAACAACCCATTAGATTTTAAAATTTTTAAAATTTTTGCGTACAATAAAATCCAGTATTAACCTCTCAATTTTTCACATACAGAAGCAAACATAAACATTTCTAAATAAAAACAAAAATAACGCGTATATTATCGCAAATTGCCCAAAACTTTCGTAACTAAACGAACAAACAATTATTACCGAAGACCTATATTAAGTTTTTTGCATAGAAGTAGATCTATGTGTGATTTAATTGTAATAATCACAATAAAATTGAAAATTTAATGAAATATAAACATACCCGTTCGGACGATTTGAGAGAGAAAGAGAGAGAGAGTTGGTTGTCGAAATGGATTAACTTGAAAGATATTATTATTTTTAAGAAAAGTAGTGTGCACCCAGGAATAATAAAGGAATCCGGAAATTAGAATATTCCGAATTAAACGATTAGGAGGATTTAATTTTTATTTTTGTTTTGGGTTTTCGCGTGATTGGTTTGGCATTTTTGTAGTAAATTTTATGAAAAGTGATTTTTTTTAAGAATATCAGATTAAAAAGTAGAAAATTTTGAATTTATATGTAAAATTATTTTATTAAAAAATATATGATTAAAATAACAAGTTTTAAATAATTTGTAATAAATAGGAGATTAGCCCATGTTTGAAAGTTGTTTTTCTCCATTTCAATAATGTGCCTTTTAAAAAAAATTATTATTTTCACCTTTTCTCATAAGTTTTTTCTACTTTTTGACCACATTTTTAAAAAATTATTTTTTGGATATTGCTTGCAAACAAGCACTAAATTTTACAAGGATATTTCTCTTTGCACAAGACCCTCTGCACAGGGTGTGAGACATGAGGATGGACCCCACAACAGGATTCTGTGCAAATAGCACAGCCCATTTTACAATGGGATAAAATATTTGTTTTATTAATTATAACTGGTGGTGTAAAATCGTTTTCAAAAATAAAATAAAAAACCGGTGGTCTAAACTGCTCGAGTAAAGGTGAATAGTGATTGAGACCTGTAAATTTCAGGTAGATCATGCCTCCGCCAAAATCACTTTATTTTCTTTTTCTTTTAATAGTAAATAATTTATAGCATATAGATGTGATTGAAAATTTTATAGGACAATGTTATACGTATCAAAATTTTGTATTGAATCTTTTATCTACCATTCACAATAGAGGTGGAAACCAAATGTCAGCATTTTTAAATTCATGCGTGCCCACATACATTGTTCGGTACCCCAGATTCGACGAAGTATATTTATTCTTTAAAAATTGAAGACGCTAAAAAAACTAAGAATAAAGTCTGAACAACATGGACGATTTACTTGATTTTGCATATTAAATGGGACATTTTCCTATGGACGAGAGTGATAACCTTGTCCAATAGAGTTAGTTTGTCATTTGATATTATAAATATATTTTTAAAACTGAAAAGGAAGGACAACTAAATCGAGTAACTCTAATGATGTAACAATAACAATGTCAAGTTCGTTATACCATTCAATAAACATTTTTCAATTCGACAAATCAATGTGCTAAATTTTAAGAGTAGGGTGACCAGTACTCTTCCAAAAAATGTTACGTGGGTAGTACCAAATTAAAAAGTGATGTGTCGATCAAGATTCTAACTAGGAACAATTGAAAGAGCACATCGAGCCCTTAGAAGTGGTAAAAGGATTCTTGGTGTCCAAGAGCCGAATGTTAAAAATTAGGATAGGACTAAACTCGATGGAAAATGGTAAGTTAGTGGCTGTTTGGAAGATAATCCCGATGTCTTTGCTTAAGACCCCAAGAATAGAGAAGGGGTTCACCAGTAATCCTGATGCCTCTGCACAAAATATACTTGTTTGTCTAGGGTGATATATAACATACAATCTTCAGTACAATGATTCGACCCACAATTTTCATAGGGCGAGCTTGTATAGATCTCATTCCCACTTGGGATTTCACGAGTTCTACTTATTTTGTCAGTGCTGCAATGGATGATGTATTTTGCACTAACAATGTGTACACTGGTAGATGATGTCTCATGTATGCATGCTATTTTTCTCAAAGAATTCATGGTCTAACAAAAATATCGAATGTGTCTTTGAAACCAATTCAAATAATTTCAATGCTTCATTTATTTGTGATAGAACCTGTTGACCCCAAAAAATTTTGCCAACAGATGTTGGTCACACCCGCGCACACGTGGGCAAATGTCCAACACGCTAAGACACGTGAACGGTCTAAAATGAGCGATTCAAAGGGTGTGGGAGTAGCCCAACGACGCAAGACGGTGACGTTCAGAATCCGACGGATTGTCTGTGATCCGATTGTACAATAATTACCAACNTGACAACACGCAACAGAACCATTTGCGAAGGAGTTCATTTGTGACCGAAAGAGGACCTTGACCCTTGTTTATCTCCTTGAACATATCACGTCTTGTGAATAGTTCTCTCCATCAAGTTTTGCAAAAAGTATAAATTTTCAGCCTCATCTTGGTCACTTCAGCTGGTGAAAAATAGTTATTGCAGAATTTCCTTGCCAAATCATCACAAGTAGTAATACTAGCATGTGGCTTCGAATCTGACCATTCCAATGTGCCATCTCTCAATATGTGCTAGAAGAGTTGGAGTTTCATGAAAATTTTGACATATTCCTATAAATCTAGAAATATGGGTATTTGGATTTTTATGTGCATTCTCATAATATTGAAGATTGTTGCTGAATAGATTGATCAGATATGCCATCGGTTGAAAATCATTTCCCCCAAATCAAGGTATACGATACTTTAGCGCTCGGGAGCTAATGTGTGAGTCAACTGGAAATATCCTTCATCAACTTCCACTCCATTATATTGCTGAATCTATTAAGCAACTAATCGAGAGGCTTATACAATAGCTGCTCGGGTAGCATCTTGTGTAGCAATGATCTAGCTAGTTCGCTTGTCATAGTGATTTATTGAAAATTTAGTTGGTTGGTGTCTTTTTTTTTTTTTTCCATCTATGAATATGTTCAATCAGGGTTGAATCGTTCGAAATTGCCTCATTGTGAACGAAGTATACAACGAACACATTTTTCCTCTATAATAGAACAAACAAAGACAAATCAAACAAAAGCTAGAAATAATATAAACACAATATTAAATAAAAATAGTTCCTCGACAATGGCACCAAAAATTTGAGGTATAAAATCGCAAGTATACATGTCTATTAAAGAAATAGAAAAGTGAACCAAAAGAGTTTGGATTATATATTCAATCATATTATATTATTCGTCCCAACTGATGACTTAGTTACTAATCGTACGATAAATTATGATTTTGGGACAAACACGGAAAGTATTGAAATACATCACCAGGTTTGGAGGGGGGTGGGGGCGGGGGGAAATGAAAGTCTTGCCCTAAGAATTTGCATTCTTCACACTGAAGTCTTGAAAATCCTCTCCTCTTATTCTCTATTCTATTGTATATTTCTCCTCCTTTAATTTGCCATAAAATGTCTGTATAGTGTCTAAATCGCAGTAAAAACTCGATTGCAAAAAGGCTCAAAATACCCCGCATAAAAACAACTAAAAAATAAATCACCAGATACGTTAATTCCTCAACTCCTAGAAGCTTTTACGCTAATCCGCAAATCTCTATAATCATCTAAGATTGGTCCTCCTCAAGTTATGAAAGTGGGCAAATATGTCTCCAAACTTCCCAGAAGTCAAATTTTACTCTCAAAACTTGTTCGGTCCCGACAATTACTCTCTCAATGCTTCTCATCAATCCCGTGCCATCAAGTTAGTCTTCAATTACTTCAAACCAACTTCAATTAAGCTCGAAATCTTCAATTTTGTTTCAAGTACCTTCAAAATCTGGATTTTGGGGCTATGATAAAAAAATCATACTAAATTAAGTAGAGCCTCTCAATATATAAATATATATCAATTTTATAAATTAGGATAATTGAAAAATCAATGACAAGAAAGTGAATGGCATAATATTCCCTTTAATATTATATGATTTGCCATGTGTATCAAGTTAAAAAGTAAAAATTAATTTCTATTTCTATGTTGTCCTAATTGTTTACAACCTTATTCTACAAACATCAAACACTTTACAATCAAATAAGTAGACATGAATTTATTTATATTTTGTGTTCTCCTAATTGTTCATAACTTGATGTTAAAAACATCAAATAAGTATATAAAATTTTCGGCCATCCATTGTTGTGGAAGTTCAGGTATTTTCTTGTACTAGTCAAAGTTGAACGTGCATTGTATGTTATTCTAAAATTACCAATTTATTGAAAGATTTGATGAGTTTCGGACGAATTAAAACTCTCAAAACTCAATTTTTATGATTCATATTTTTTGTAAAGATGAAATACTATAAATGAGCAATCTTTTTATATTACATTTGATACATAAAAATTAATTGTTAATACATAAATACACTCATTAAAATTTCTAGATACATGAGTATAAATAAATTCGTCTATAATAACTCTAGATTCATGTAATTAAAGATTCATCAAGTGAAAATTCATTGAATCTAGATTAATACGAATATTAATTAATTAAGAATTAATAACACAAATTTCATAAATGACAATAATTATACAATATTTATTACATAACGAAAAACGAAAAGTAAGGTATTGATGAAATAATCGAATAGTAAGAGGGTTAAAATCGTCCAAAAAATGATTCTCCTTTGATGTGATATTTTAATATATTATAGATCACACACCAAAGTGAAAATGTTGAATAAATTGAAATGTAGTGATTTGTTTATGCTAGATTTTGGTTGGACCTCTATTTTCAACTATTACGGTGACATCGACCAATTTTGTAGTACAGACAGACATGAAAAAAATCAAATTAAAAGATGTACATTTGATTATGTTAAAATGTTCACGTATAAGTAAACTAAAGGTACATAAATATTTTTCAAATTAAAAAATTACTCATTTTGTCTGTACCATAAACTTTTTTACCTAAAAAAAAAAAAAACATCGTATCTAAACATATTTAAAAACAAAAAATTGCACATTGCTCGTCATATCAATCCATATCATTTATTTTAAATTAGAAACCAAAGTTACATTCAAAATAATTATCGAAGTGAAAAATTTTAAACAAAAGTTTTCCTTTTCTTTTGAATGGGATTAATACGAACATAGGAATAAAAATTCTCCATTTAAATGTATTGAGATAAAAATATTATTATTTTCTTTATATATTTATATTTAATAAGTAACAGGATTTCCATCAATTTTATACTTATACAAAAATGAACATGCAATAATAAATAACCAATATTATATTAATTATTTTTAAGAACACATAATATTAATTTTTATTAATAATTAAAAAAATGGATTTCGTGAAAATGTA